CTGATTGGGCTTTAAAGGTGTCCCATATTTTTTTTAAATTATTTTACAACCCTCGCAAGACTTTTGTCTTGCGAGGGTTGTATAGTGTATGGGCACCTTTACACAGTCTTTTCTGCCATAAAAAGCCTGTTGTGTCTGTTTTTCTAGTGCGGTTTATTAAACATGAGCCAAAACTAGACTAGCTGTGTTGTCTGTGGACCTGTTTTTTTTGTTTTTTTTACCATTTGCTTCATACAGACTAGCCTTATGTGTTGTAGGGTGTGGCATGCTAACAAAAGCCTATATATCTAAGGCTGTCCTTACAGTAGTAGAGGTCGCACGGCTTCCACACACCTTACGATCATCGTACGATCGCGGGATTTCCCGCGATTCTCGTACGATAATCGTAAGGTGTGTGGGGACCCTAAGGCATATGGCATGCTAGTGATCCTGCCACTGATGGTAACTTGCTAGGATGAGGATTGCAAACAAACCCCTTCTTTTTTTATGATGTGACTTTCTCACTGGCTGGAGCAGGGAGATATCACTCTAGGTAGACGAAATGCAGATGATTCACTCTCGCCAAGGAGGGAGCAATGCCTCGTTGGTCTAGCCAGTGAAAGAGTAATGTTGTAGAAACAGGCTACAGTGCCATGGGCTTAAATCACATCTGCTGTTTCATCTACCTGTATTACTATCATGTATTCCAATAAAGGTTTGTTTTATGCAGCCAACGAGAGATGGTTTAAACCAAGAGTCCAGTGATGAGATCCCCCTTCTTCCTGGAGAGACGCATGTGACAGGTGAGTTGTGACAAAAGGCCATGTATGCATCCAAGGACAGTATCATCCTAGAAATATGAAAACTCAGCAGCCTATTAAATAGTAACCATTTCAGTTGTTATAATTGCTATGCTTTACTTGTCCGTGCATTGACTTGCAATGAAGTCTAGCCCAGGCTGATTGTCTGAATTGTTGTCTGGCCAAGTAAGCATCCTAGCAAGTAAGATTTGTGGGACAATAATATATTTACCCAAGTAGACAGCTCCTTGTGTTCAGGTTCAGTTACACACGGCATTTTTATTTGCTTAGCGGCATTAGACTAACCCTTTGTGACCATTCGTTTATTTGCAGATGAGGCACATTCTGACAAGAAATGTCATTTTTTTTTACTACTTAATTAAAATTTTTACTTTTAGCTGACCGTGCGAATATAATGTAGTTTTCCTTTGCAATCTTCTTCTGCAGTTAGTTAATTTTAGTGAGGTTACATAAAGGTAAATGTCCTGAAAACATTTTGTGTGTTGAAGTGTGAGTGTTCATGTAACATTGGTCTGTAATCAGTTGATCAAAATGCCCTTTAATGTTTTCTCATCCATTGAGGGACACAGGAATTCAGATACAGTCAGGGTTATACTGCCACCTGATTGGCTCTGTCATTCAAAAAAATTGTAAGCCAGCATGTCTCAGTATTTTGCTGGTGCCGTAAGAGAATGGATGTCTTTTCTTAAACTGTGCTGAAAAACTCTAGCCGCCTTTTTAGTAGCTTTTGTTTCTTGGCAGTTTTTCTTTTAACTTCAATCAAGATTTCCTACACATCACTGTTGCAGCTGGTCTTTACACAGCAGCTTTTTGGATTAGGGCTTCCTCATTCTGGTACGGATGCCGTTCTAGGACCTCAAAAGACTGGACTTTGTGGGGCTGGCCTGGAATGTGATCTTCAGGCACTGGGCTTTGCATTGTGGTGCTTTTCAGATATGAGTGTACTGGTAAAAGTTAGATTCAGAGTGCTCTCCAGGTCCAAAGCTGTGGCACAGCCCCGGGGGTGACCTTTCTGAGTAAGGGTTGCCATACACCTTACAACCATTGTACAACATTTTTTGTGCAGACATCTCACCCTCGTTTTAATTTTCTTACAACTAGCCCATCATGCACAGACCAATGTAGTTTGCAGTTAACGTTCGTCCGCACCACCACCTGGCCAATTGTTATTGATGGAAAGCAGAGATTTTCATTTTAGCATGTGCAGTTTATCTTGAGATTTTTGTTGTACAACAACTCCACTAACCTGTCAATTTTTGTCCAACTAGACAAAAGTTTTCTATGCTTGAATGACAAAAATCTGCCAGATGTACAGTAATTGAGTTTGTGCACTTCCCATCAACTGGCAGATTTTTGGACGAAAACGCAATCGCAGACACAAAAATCTCCAAAAAATAGTAAGGTGTATGGGCACCTTTAGGCTGGTCAGACTAAAGCCCCAGGAGCTATAGAGCTAATGTTTGCACTGCTTCTGGTTTTACTTGAAATGGGTAATGCTTAGCGGATTATATCAGAACTCAATTCCTAGGTGGATTGTTGTGCACGTTCTGTGATCCATTTAGCACAGAGGAAGTACCATCCCACTGCTGCTCCTGGTTTGAGAATCATCACGTGAAACTCCAGTTTCTGGTCTGAACTCAGATTCTCCTTCAGCTCAGTTGCCCTGTAATCGGGGACCTCTACTGCAATGGACAAATTCACCCAATCCCTTCCAGACCTCCTGCAGCTGCAACAACCTTTCTGATTCACCTGCTATTTAAGGTATTATGTTGGAGGGATCCTGAGCCTCACCTGAGAGCGTGCTACTGTTGATTTTTTTAAACCGTGGTCTATTCCCGCTGTGGATCCACAAGTGGCCCACTTTAGTAGAGTAGAAAATTACTGCTTAGGTAGAGGGCATATTTTTGGAGCGTTTTTTTAGGGCAGAAAATGTGCTACAAAACGCTCATCGCCACTCAGGTCTAAGGTGTTGCATCAAAAACAGACAATGTATGTCAACATATTGCAGAGATGTGAACTGGCACCATTTAAAACAATGGTTATACTGTCTTTTAAATGCATTATGTGAATGGACACCAAAAGATACCTTTAGTGAATTTTGATGTTTTCAACAGTCTTGCTATTTGTTTTTTTTAACCAATAGAAACATTGGTTCAGCCATATTTACTAACTGCACGGTACTGTAAATGATGTGCTTCATGCTGCTTAGTACTGCACAAAGATTGTGTTTAGCTGTGCGTTTGTCAGTGAAATCCTGCGCAAACTGTCTGAAAGTATCATATCCTGTCATGAAAAACGTCTACTTACTGAAAATGAACCATAGTTGTGTTTTTAAAGCAAACCTGTGCTTAAAAAAACAAACAAAAAAAACAGGCTGCCATTGCTGACTTCTTCCTGAAAATGCTAGTTGCTAGACTGTCTTTGGCTTCAGTACTTTGAGACACTGACCTACAACAAGCAAGCATAGCAGTCGCGGATAAACTTGTTGGTACCTTATCACGAAAAAAAGGACAATTTGACTTGAACTTGATACTGACAGAATTTATTGGTGTCTGTGATTGTTCCATATTTAATAATAAGATGTTGCTTTTGATTTAACAGAATATTTCAAATACTAAAACAGATGAAAATAACATTAACAAAAATAATGGGATTCTTTACCTAGGTTGCACAACCTTTAGAAGTAGTCAGTGGGGTTCAGATCAGGGCTCATAGAAAGCCACTTCACAATAGGCCAGTGTTTTATTCTTAGCCATTCTTGGGAGCTTTTTGCTCTGTGTCTTGGGCCTTTATTCTTCTTGGAGGACCCATGACCTGTGACTAGGACAGAGCATTCTGACATTGGGCAGTAGGTTTTGCTCCAGAATTCCTTGAATGTCTTGATTTTGTTGTGCCCTGTACTTTGGGCTTGTTCACACAATGTCCAGATTCTGTCCAGACCAGAACAATTAGCTCCTGGACCAAAAACTCATCCCGAGGTATCCCTGTGTGTTTTCTGGGCTACAGTTCATACCTTTTTTGCTTCCTGTTCCAGACCGAAAAAAATTAATTTTTTCTGGACTGGAACGCACCAGAATGCGCAAAATGCATCAAACGCACAGACCACACTGGACTGCACACGAAAGCCCATTTTAAGCTAAAAAGAACCGGGAGGTGGCAAAACGCACTGAACTGCGTTTGCAGATCTGGTCAGGACATGGTGTGAGCATAGCCTTAGGGCAGGTTCACACCATTTTCTGGAACAGATCTGGTCTGGAAAATGGTGTAAACCTGCCCGCAGTTCCAGTGTATTCCAGACCAGGCAAAATGAGACATGCAGTATTTTTCTGGTCTGGAACAGACTGCTGGTGTGAACAGAGGCCAGAAATAGCATAGGGGCTAGGCTGAGACTGGATGTACTGCACAGACCTAAGATTTCGGGGGGACTGGCCCTTCCCAACCCCTGGTTGTATTATATAGCATCACAATTGCAACATCTGGCAGGGTGGGCACAAGGTGGGGTGCACCCACAGACCTTTAACATTGTCTTGTATCTTTTCAGGGGGCTAGACCCGCTGCAATACCTGGAGAGTGATTTATATGTTAAGAAGCATTCAGGCTTCCCCACAGTGAAATTGATGGGGCAGGTGTGGAGGGCAGCTAAAACCTTGATGCGAGTGGGTGGCATGACAGGGTATACGCCCTTGTGGAGTAATGGCTGCTTGCCTGAGCTGCTTCCTCTGGAGGGATTCCGCTCGTGGCGGAGGGCGGGTATCTGCACTGTAAACCAGTTGTATCAGGGGGACGCTATACGCTCCTTCAAGGATCTACAGGCTGAGTTTCAGATACACACCAACTGTTTTTTTGGGTATCTCCGGGTGCGCCACGCACTCCGAGCGCAGTTTCCTCAGGGGGCTCCGAGGTTCTCGCATACACCGCTCTTCGATACATTGTTTACCTCAACAAGTACCAAGGGGCTGATTTCATTAATGTACTCACAGTTTTTAATGAAATTGGTGGCACAGGGCCCCTTGAGGTGCAGAACAGGATGGGTGGATGACTTGGGTACCATTCCGGATGAGATATGGGATGAGATCCTGGAGAATGTTACTCAGGTTTCCCTCTCACCCACCCATAGACTAACGCAACTGTTCATAGTACATA